TCATAGCCCAAAGATTATTATTAGCTCAAAATTAGGCCCACCAAAAGACATCACGAATTGTACCTCAACAGGCCCAAAATCCTAATTGTGTAAGAATCTTCTGAAAAGCAGAAAAAGGGCAGAAATGAATTTTAAAGATGGGGGGGGGGGGGGACAATAGAATAATTTAATGAAGACGGATAAGATTAAGTTCAGCTGAGCAGAAGAATAAACAGATAATAAAATGGGATGGCAGCATGTGGGGGGGGGGAGAAATGAAAAATTAAGTATGAACGTAATACATTCTCTAGTTCACTTCTTTTCATGATTATCTGTCTCCATATATGGAACATTGTTTTCATATATGGAGAACATTGTTTTCATCCATATATGCAGAACATTGTTTTCATCCATTTTGACATATGAATACAGAAAACACACACATATATATACCTATATATAGATAAAGACTTAATAAGATACGTACATACATATATAGCACTTAAGAGATGATACGCATGCTCAGGGTCAAGTGAACACCATATCAACGTTTTAGTTACCGGTCTAATGTAAAGAATATCCATTATGCTGTTAAATTTTTGGGAAAAATTTCTGAATGAAAGAAAACGGCAGAACAGAGTATTATAAAAGAAAATGAAGGGAAGGCTCCATCTTCCTGATGCCTATTTTACCACAGAACAAAGTAATGTTGTTTTTCTGAAGTTCATTCCTTTCTTCTCAATCCAAAGGTCAAATGGTCAAGGAAGAAGGATTAAGAAGATACAACTTTATGCAGCAGATGGGAACAGTTCATTCCTTGAAATGGTACAAATCTGTGTCATGTGTGAAGGAAAAGGTGACATTAATTGGATCAAGAAATAGTACGATTGGGAGACTGCTACATCTGCTAGCAGATAGGTAAAAAAATGGATATAAGGCAACAAAGTCTTTCTTTTCAAAAAGTGCCAATCTTTTCTCAGGATTCTTTTTTTGTTATAACAAGATTCATTTTTTACAATCCGAGTACTTTGCATCAGGTATTAAAATAACTTTTCCAATGCAGGAGTCATCATTCTTGATCTGTATGTGACTATTAGATATAATCACAAAGGAACAAAGTTTCTTTAGCTTTTACATATATTTATGTTACAATTTTAAATTTAAAACGAGTGATGAAAATATTTATCTCACTAATGATTCAAAGTAAGTCTTATTTTAGTCACAAAAGGCTATTTCATTTCCAAAAGAATCAATGACTTGCAACAGATTCTGGTAGACTATCAAGGTTAGGCACAAAACCCATCAAGGTATCTCCTTTGATGTCGCAATGACCAGTTCCACAGATTAGCTGTTGCTGTTAAATGGTATCATTCATGTATAAGTCTACAATTTTTTGGGGTTTTTTAATTAAAAAAACAATTCTGGGGACCTAAAAGAAGCACTGCTTCTGGCCTTTTCTGAAGGCTTAAGTGGGAAATTGGTGGTGGCAGCTAGGGGTGGTTGACCCCTTAAGGCAGTGCTAGTGATTTCTTCTTTCCACAGAATGACCCTCAACTAATCCAAAGGTCATATCCAAATCAATAATTTTAGTTGCAAAAATCTATATGTTAACTAAATAATATCTTTAAAAGAGTAAATCTGAACCTGGAAATGTATGTGAATTTTTGTAGAACTTTTAGAATGTTATAAGATAAAGGAAAAGGGTTTCTCCTGACATTAAGTCCAGTCGTGTCTGACTCTGGGGGTTGGTGCTCATCTCCATTTCTAAGGCGAAGAGTTGGCGTTGTCCGTAGATACCTCCAAGGTCATGTGGCCAGCATGACTGCATGGAGTGCCGTTACCTTCCTGCCAGAGAAGTACTTATTGATCTACTCATATTTGCAGTATCACAAAATATTGATACGTTTTTTAGTACATTCAAGAATGACCTTAATTATTTTAGTTCCAAAAATTGAACAGTTTCTACTGTCTTTTCAAAATTCTCATGTGGAAATATCCTGAAGGTACCAGATCCCATCTGATCTTGAAAGTTATGATACGATGATTCCATGAGTTGGTTCTATTGGAACAAGCAACATTAATAATTTAGTGTTATTCAGGGTAAAAGTAACTGTTGTAGAAACTATAGGGAAAAAAGAGTCACACAAAATGGCTCTCATCATGTCAATGTGAGAGGCCTTACACTACACACACAATTCATCCAAAAAGATATTGAATAGTGAACGTGATCTTTTATATCATACCTTCTAAAACTTAATAGCCAATGCCATATCATGCAATTTTCCTGCTTCTTGGCAGGGGGTTGGACTGGATGGCCCACAAGGTCTCTTCCAACTCTATGATTCTATGATTCTATCTTCCCACGCAAGCCACCTTACTCAGTGCATCAAGTTAACATACAAAGCCATGTACTTCCAGAATATTTTGATAAACCTTATTTGTAATATTTTAATATCAACACTGTAAGAAACTAATGCTCATTTCAAACATGCATCATGAAATTGTAATACAAAATATTGAACCAGGATCTGCTCACTTCATAAACTAGGAAATAGAGGCCCAAACTTTGTCATCCTCTGCTTGTCCTCCCCAGTTTCACTGTTGACAGTTGGTCCTTTTAAATTGAAAACTGACCCATGTGAGATATGAGTCTACAAGTCTAGCTTATCAATGGGAACAGTAGGGCAGTACTTTTGAATTCTCTCCAGTAGTTGCCCCCCTCTCCCAACCAAGTGCTATAAATTTGTGTCTTGGGCTGTTGTACAAGGAGCACTGCAGCACTAGGTATTCCAAGGATTCCACAGCTCATGTTCACATTGGTACCAATGTTCATCCAAGGGGATCCCACTGAATTGACATTAGCAGTAATGTGACAACCATTTAACCAATCAACAAGCCCACCTCTTGACCCCACCCCAATAAATTATTAGAATACTAGAACGAACTGGTTAAACATATGTAAATTCTCCTTATTATATTGTCATGACAATGATAGTCAAGCAGAAATGAAAAAATGACAGCTTTAATATTATCAATGTGTTCGGTAATGGTATATTAAAATTTTGATGCTCTGCAATTAATTAAAAACTACATAGCAGCAGGAAAAGATATATTGGACTTCACAGAGACAAGACTGATGAATACAACTTAATCAGCTCTTGAGTGCTGGTCTGCAGTAAAATAATGGGCTCAATATATATATTATTTCAATAATACTGCAAACTACCACAAATGCCACCCTCTACTGTGAGTTCAAACCACCAGGAAGATCATATACAAAAAAGCAAAGACTATAGAGAGTAAGAAGTAGCCATTCCAAAGTCAATCATAATCTGTGCAATGAAGAACACTGAATGAATAATTAAATACTTATGTCTAAATGATTACAAACAAGCTGGACTAAACTCTTGAGTTCCATGGATTCTAATGGGACTTCTTCAAGTGTTGCATCCACTGCATGCATGTAACCAGCAGAAAAATTCAGAGCTTTGAGTTAATTTTACTTAAGCTTTATATACATTAATTATTTAGAATAATATTGATAAGGAAGTATGCCATATCCATAATGTCTTCCACGTAACTAGTAAAAACACAAATGAATTTGATCAATATCTCAGTTTGGGCGTTGCAGGTAAAAGAAAGCTATGAAAATTGATATACAATAGGAGGATACTACCTCAATGACAAAAACGATCCTAACTTTCCAAAAGCATCCTTTCTTATATCAAACATATATTAAATATATTCCTTTCCTCTTTAACCAACACATGGCAAGGAACGCAAACTAAATTGTAATAGCATGTCTTCTACTTACTTAATTAAAAAAACTTGATATTAAGTAACTGGAATGCACGACTTTCATAAGAGAAAACAATAAAAATAGAAGGTTTTTAAAAATAAAGAATACTATTGCAACAGTCTACTAACTGCATTGAAGGATGCCAACATATCTAGATTGTTCTGTCAAGAAAGGAAAAAGGATCCAGACACAAAACATACATGGCGGTTGAAGGACAGAACCAGGGATGCTTATTTCAGTACAAAATTATTCAAGCCATTCTAATGCATTCTGATAAAACAATTATTTTCCCATCTAAATACGTATGCTTTTAATTTTATAACATCTTTCTTCAGGCCTTTTACAGCACATACATTTTGAATAATGAATTACACCAAGATAACCGCATGATAAATGCAAGCATCATCATGATGAACCGTTTTTTAAAAAAATCTAACTAATAAAGATAATTTTCCATGCTGACAGTGCACATTTCATCCATACGTTTGAGGAATCAAATGCTACCACAGCTGGGGGTTATTCTAGCAAATGGCTTCCAACAGTGACCATAAAGATGGAAGGGGCGTGTGTGTATATTTACAGACGTGTGTATGTATATGCACACGTATGTATGCATTTCATACACACATAGGGTAATTTTACAGATTCATCTATACAAATTCATATCTAATGTAAATCAACAAAAAAATTAAAGCGTTACATCAGATATATTCAATCAACCACATGCATAATGACAAAAACAGGGGAAACGCTAAGAAATCGTGTGAAAACTCAAGTACAAGTAATTTCTGGGCTGCCTGCAGAGATAGAAATGGGGAAAAATCCATATGAATAACTTATATATGTAATACAGATTTACCCAGAGGGGGGAGGAAAGGGTTATTGTAGATAATGGGGGAGGCAGAAATACCTTTTCCACCCTTAAATCCATCATGAAAGAAAATGAGACAAGATTATAAATAAGAGGCCAAGTTATTGAACACCATGGGAGTCTTAATCTGGCTACCTGTGGTTTTTTGCAGTTAAAGCCTTTTTTTTTCAGTACTAGCAAGGGGAGGGAGCGGTAGGGGAAAAAAAGACAAAAACAAAATTGTGCTTATATGCCAGTTTTGCAAATGACTAATAGCATGCATTAACAAATACATTTGAAAACAGGAAATACTATTATTTTTTAAAAAATAAATAGGGAAGCTTATATATTTTAAATGCTGGTGATCATTACCTGCGCATCTCGTTTCCTGCATTCCTGACTTTTATTGTCGTACTCTGTCATGGCAGCCCGAAGCTGTTTTTCTAGTTTCTCAATGTCTCGTTCATGGTCTCGAACCAGGCAATCCTTTTCTGTGTTATGCTGTTGGAATAGGTGCGTCTTCTCCTGTTCATGCTCCAGCTTCAGCTCTACTATCTGATTGGACAATGAAGGGTACAGTTCATCAATAGAACATCCCTGTCGTCATGACAACTCATCTTACAGCTTAATTTTTCTCCCCCCACAATTTCATCAAGTTGGTTTTATCATTATTTTTACGTCATTCTTACCTCACCTTTCTTTTCTTAAAAAAAAAAAATCTTTGTATTGGGAACAAGAAATATCTTCCGATTAATTTCGTTATGCGTGACAACTAGGCAAATCCCGTACATTTTAAAACCTAACGTATTGGTACAAGTCTCGGGACACTGGGGGGCGGGGGGGATTTTGTATCCTGCTGCTGGTATCCAGCAGAGATACAGATTAAAAAATGGTTAAATCAGTCTCTTCTGTTTTTCACGCGTGCACACACACACAAAAGCTTCAGCTAAATCTTGCAAAGATTTCGTTATGATTTCTCCAAAACGAAAAATGGCTAGAGGAATGTATCGAGGTTCTTCTCGTCCAAGAAGAAGAAAAAATATAGCTATAAAAAAACACCATTATTTTGTTGTCGGCTACGGTACCACCAACATAAACAGATGTACGTGTTTCAGAAGGGCACCTGCTGTGCTGCAAGCTTGCGCCATGATTTCATAAGAAGCCTTCTATTCTCAGGAAGGATCCTTTCCCAGTCCACAGCACACTGGATACGATGACCTTGGCCAGTCTTAGCCTCTCCCTGCTACACTGAATGGCAGCCTGAGACCAAGGGCCTGGTTGCCGCAGCTTTGATACTAATCCTCCCAGGCTGAGCACAATGGCACCCTACCTGGCCTGCACACTATAGCCAGCTAGGCTGCCTTTGAAGCAGGTGATGAATAGGGGACTGCAGGAAGCCAGCTTTCCTAGTGAACTCCAGGCCACACAGCTGCTAAGAACAGTCACTTGGATTTTTCTTCAGTTTTGGTGGATTTCAGGAGAAGAAAAAGAAACCGCTGTTATCGAGAATATGTTGGTTATATTCAGCGTGAGAATCCCTCTTCCTCTTCTTCTTCTTGTTCAAAAAAAGAGAAAGCAAACAGTAGGAGTCTGCTCAGAATCGATCTTGTTTGTGCGAGGAAAGCGGGCAGGCACCTTATCTTAAAGTGATAGCATTCATTTTTTAAAACATCCATTCTCTATCCTTGTCAGCTGTGCCATGATTTTGGCCGTGTAGTTTTAATTCTGGGTTCGTAATTGGCTGTCATGCAGATTTTGAATGCTATGATGAAAAGATTTTTTTCCTCCCCATCATTTTAGAACTAATTATGGCGGGGGGGGGGGGGAGGCATTTCCAATCTTACAAGAGGAAACATACTGTGCAAAACATGATTTTAAAAAAACAAAACATGGTGCAATTATTGCTAAAAATAAAAAAAGCATTAGATATCGTGACCTCACATGGAATTATGAATTAATTCAAATCAAAGCTTAAATAACTTTTTTTATTACCACTCCCTCAAATTTCATAGATAGTTTGGACAGTGGGCATGCTTGTTGGAGGATTCTGGAAGTTGTAGTTCAAATCAGTTTTGATCTAATATCCTTAGGCCCAAAGCAACTTGCATTGGAAAAAGTTTTCTTAATATGATGCCCTATGACGTAAAATCAATCCAAAGATCACAACAAATCAAGATGTACCTCAGTTTTTTGAAATATTTTGTAGAAATATAATACAAGTGAACCGTGTCTCAAATAACACCACTGTTTTCAGTTTCTCAACTAATTATTTGATTGATTTTTCAATCTTGTACTACATAGTCACCTCAAATTGTTTGAATGAACCATGAAATATGCCTGCTGATGAGTCCTTGAAACAAGAAGAGAAAGTTCAGAGGAAAACCCATTTTACTAAATGCCTAGTTGGAGAACCCCATGAATTAAAGGAATCCAAAAGCAGAAAAAGAGTTAAGGTTTGCACAGTCTGAGAACAGACATGGATTCCAAGCTGAGGAGTCTCCACTTACAAATAAATGACAGCACTGAACTGCATGGCAAAATGATATTTTGCAGTCACTGACATCACTAGTATGGAAACTGAACCTTCAAATCATATATAGGAAATTATCCCTAACATTAGAGGTTGATTATAAAAACTAAAACATATTATTAGCCATCACTTTCAGAGACTATTAGATGCCATCTATGGGCCACCCTACCCCTAGTCCTTCCAGCATGTATGAGGAAACACACTTTTTGTTTTTGTTTTTACATACGAGGAAATTATGAAAAGCTGAGGAAATTGCCTATCATCTTTTAGCTTAGAAGTTCCAACTTTTCTTCCCTACGTGCTTATATGCACTCCTCCTTTTTCCAGCAAACAGAAGGGAAGAACAACACTGCTGGACTTTTAAGTACTTCCCAGGAATCTGAAAACAGCAGAAGCAGTGGTTGCTAAATATTTATTCAGGCCCCCCAGATTGTTTTTAAGACAAAGAGCTCTGTTGGCAGACAGGGTGTTACTAACTTTGCCCATGAGGCTACATTTAAAACAAACAAACAAATAATCAAAACAAAGAATACATTGTACAAAGAAGCCAAATGTCCCTTATCAAAAATGCTTGGGACCAGAAGTATTTTGTATTTCAGATTTTTTTCAGATTATGGAATACCTATAGTTGTATATACAGCCAGTCCTAGATTATGAGCAAGATAGCTTCAGTAGGTTAAGTTGAATTAGTATATAGGTTGGAACAGTACATTTCAACGGTACAGTAACTCCAGCTGTATCTATATCTAATAATAATAATAATAATAATAATAATAATAATAATAATCTTTATTTATACCCCGCCACCATCTCCCCAATGGGAACTCGGAGCAGCTTACATGAGGCCAAGCCCAGACAACAATTACATAAAATAAAACCGAAAACACAAACAACAAACAACAACAACGTAATTACATAAAACATATCTAGATCTATATCTATCTATCTATACACACATACATATGTATGTATATATGTATGTATGTGCGTATGTTTTGGATAGCATAGGATAGGGTTAACATCCATGTAACATTTGTTTTGCAGTTTGTGCCCCTGTTCAGAAGTTTTCGCCTCATTTTCTGTGACAATTATATTAAAAGTTTGGATTGTTGTGGGATCAAGGATTGGTGATAAAGTTTCAGTAGAGATACTTTTCCTCATGATAACCCTCCCAGGAGTGAATTTCCCTTCTGAAGGGTAGATTTCCTCACACTTCCTGTTGTCTCACCTCCATTCTTAACTGGAAGTCGCATGTAAGTTAGATGTCTGTAATCTAGGGACTGCCTTTACATAAATGATCTATCTTTGAGACTGGGCCAAGTCTAAACATTAAATTCATTTATGCTTCATAAACACCTTATACATATAACCCAATGGTAATTTTATACAGACTATTTTTTAACAATTTTCAGTATGAAACAATGTTTGCACAGATAATTTTGGATTTGGAAATGAGTGAGATTTTGAAATTTTGGGTAACAGATACTCAACCTGTATTACAATAATAACTAACTAAAGTAGGAGATAAATTAATGTCACAAAATAGAGAATATTTTGAAATGACCATTGATATATCACAAAAAGGAAATATATTCAAGATCCTATTAAGAGAATGCAAATGTGCCAACAAGGTTTCCTGTTACATACATCCATCCATCCACTATTTTAAACCCAAACAATATTTGGATATGTTGGAAAAAACAAGAGTGCACACATAATATCTCAAAAGCAAAAACAGACGTACCTAAAGAACTTGGAAATGAAGAGCATGTAAAGAGAATCAAGGCACAATCACAGGAGTGCAAAATACCTCTTATCTATTATTTTTCAGATATCCCTAAACATGAATACACTTGTAACCATAATGTCTACTTAGAGACTATTTCAATGTAGCCAGTGTAACTTACTCTCAAGGAAGTTGAGTGTAACTTACTCTGCAGGCAGCCTTTGTTATGCTTTGGGGGGCTCAGTTACAAAAGCTCTCCTGAATGTTGTGTGTGTTTGTATGTGTGTGCTTGATCATTCAGTACAATTTGGATTGATCATTCCTAATGGCTTAACTACATAAAACTCCAGCAAAGGATCATTGCTTTGTCATGGTGCTGGAGCTTGAGCACCTCGATGATGCTATGAGCAAAACCGTAAAGGCACACCTAAGAGGGGAAGTTCATGGCAGAGAGGTCAGACTAAATACAATCCCTGGGAAAGGTAATGGCAACCCACCCCAATATTCTTGCCATGAAAACTAAATGAATCAGTACAACCAAAGATATGTTGATATACCGTCGGAAGATGGGACTCCCAGGTGGGAAGATGGTCAAAATGATACTGAGGAGGAACAGAGGATAAGTTCAACTGGCTCCAGATGTGATGACACAGCTAGCTCAAAGTCAAAAGGAAGGTTAGTGGCCGACGGTACTGGAGGTGAGCAACGAATCCGATGTTCTCGAGATTAACACACCATAGGAATGTAACCTGGAATGTAAGCTCTATGAGCCAGGGCAAATGTGATGTGGTTATTGCTGAGATGTCAAAGATGTGAGAGCTGGACCATAAGAAAGGCTGAGCAAAGGAAGACAAATGCTTTTGAACTGTGGTGTTGGAGGAAAATTCTGAGAGTGCCTTGGACCACAAGAAGATCAAACCAGTTCATACTCCAGGAAATAATGCCCAGCTACTCACTGGAGGGAAGGATATTAGCGGCAAAGATGAAGTACTTTGGCCCCATAAAGAAAAGACAGGAAAGCTTGAAGAAGATAATGATGCTGGGGAAAATGGAAGGAAAAAGGAAGAGGGGCCGACCAAGGGCAAGGTGGATGGATGGTATCCTTGAAGTGACTGGCTTGACCTTGAAGGAGCTGGGGGTGGTAACGGCCAACAGGGAGCTCTGGCATGGGCTGGTCCACGAGGTCATGAAGAGTTGGAAGTGACTGAACAATAAACAACAAAAACGTAAAAATCTTGATGGGCCGATCTCCCTGATACTGTTTGATTGGCAGATGGAATTTTGAGCCTCCTCCCCAGT